CTCCCCTGTCTATAGGATATGAAGTCCAAACACAAGGCATGGCATTCAATGCTGAGCATGAACTGACCTTCATCTCGTTGGTCCCACCACAATATGTGTGCTGTATGTACACTGTAGTCTAGCCATGCCCCCAAGCTTTTTTTTTACTGCTGCTTTCTTTGAGCATATTGTTCACTTTATCTAGAACACCCTCCCCTTGCTACACAGCCACTTCTCTGCGTAGTAACCCCCTATTCATCCTTCTGGAACTAGTCTCGATGTCGTGTTTAGTAATGATTCTTCAGAGATCAGCCACTGTTTCCTATCCTGAGTCAAGTTATTCATGGTTTTGGTTTCTTAAGGCACAATAGATATGCTTTTATTAAAGTATGTTGTATTCAATTGCAATTGTTTACTTACACGTGTCTTGCCTCTATCTCTTCCCCCAAATTCCTGAAGGAGAAGAACTGGTTCTCAATCTACTACATCTCCCTCAATTAGCCGTGACTGGTACATTATAGACATTTAGTATGTTTGTTGAAAGAAAAAATCTGTTTGGATAGGCATATATGATTCTAAGTTTCTGTTCTTAATTTTTCATTTATTTTCCACTCTGAAAGAATAATTCCCTTGTCAACAAAAAGAGCATCCTTTTCTACTCCAGTCTTTACTGTCCAGTGTTTATTTCCAAAGCTTTGTCCTTATTAACAGATATGTAGCCATTAACTTTATTCTTTATGCCCAGTAATTATATTATCAATGTGTAATTTTTTTTTATCAGTTTTCATTAATAACTGGAATAACCGAATCCGGAATATTTTTAAGTTTTTCATTTAAATTTATAAACATTTATGTGCAGAGAAGTTATGGTAGGATAATTACTAAAATATGTTCAAGCATGAAAACATTACACTTGAATAAAATTAAGTGGAATGGAAACAGAAGTGTAGGGAGAAAAAAGATGTAAAACTTCTGATTTAAAAAAAGAGTTCTTTATTTTTTTAATCAATGGATGATGGTAGCTATCAAATTGCTACGGTATTTTATTACATTGTGTATATTCTTAAAAGACTGCTATAGCGGTTATTTTTAAATATGCTGGAAATTTTATCCTTTGTAACTAACCTTATGATAACAATTTTATATGTCTATTTAGAAATGTGTAAAAGGGTACCTAGTTTTTCAAAATCTCTTTGGGGGTTATGCAAACATAAAATTTGAGGACCACTGGTGTACATTCTCAAGGTTCAAAAGGATGCTTTTGTGCTTTTGTCCAATCCTACATGCACAATTTAGTTTGGTAACCAAACTAAACCTAGGGGTTTTTAACTTGTCCAAGTCGTATGACTAACTTATGTTATCAACGTGTGTGATTGATTCAAAGTAGTAATCCTGCCTAGACATCAGTGTCTTTCAACTCTTACTCCTACAACTTGTTCAAATTTTCATGACAAAGATTTGGTTTCCCTCCAGGTTCTTCTGCATTAATTTTAGACATCTAGCTCAAATGGCTATGACATGTTTGCTTACTTTGTCATGACTTTGAGATGTACCATCCGTCAAAACCATTATCTCTGGGAGAAGTCACAAACTAAAGAAACTGGGGGAAAAGGAAGCAACAGATTATTTTCCAATTACCCAGACCAAAAGCTTCAGAAATTGATTAATTGACACTGCTTTCTCTAAGCTTTAAAACTTTGGGTTCTGTTGGTGTAAGAATTTTATTTTTGCAGTTTAATGCTTTCTCATAAAACATGCCGTGATGATCTGTATCATTTTAAAATCTGGCATAGAATTCCATTGTATGACTTACTGTCCCATAATTTATTTAACCTGTGACATATGACAACATTTAAATTCACCTGTTGCTGAACATTTTGCCATTCAGTGCAATGCCCTAGTGAATATTCTCTGTATCTTTATATACTCATGCTCTGTTTCTTTAGGTCTCATTATTAGTAGTAAAATATCTGTATCAAAGAAAATGTGCATGTTTGGTTTTAGTAGATACTGCAAAAAAATTAAAAGATACTGCAAATTATTCTTCTAAAAAAGCTGTACCAACAAACCCGCCCATCAACAGAGAGTGCCCATTTCTTACACATGCCCTAAGTGTGGATACTATCAGGCTTTTGACTTTCTTGCAATCTCAAAAGACATTAACACACACACCAGAATGAGACCACAATGATTTTCACTTTCTTAATGAGGCCATAATGATTTTCCTATTTAAACTGTAAATTCTACCCACCTCCCCCAGAACTCCTACATCCCTTTAAACTATTTTATTTCCTATAACACTTAAACTACTTTCTAATAGCATTCTGTTACCTGTTTCTTTCCCCATACTCTAGACTGTAAGCAAAGGGTTTTTGTCTCTTTTGTTCACTAATGACCGGTGCCGGGCACATGGTAGACATTCACATATTTATTAAATTGAATGATGTGGCATTTGTATAATACACATGAATTTCATCCGTAGCTGGTATGTTTCTTCTTTGGCCCATCTGTCCCTGTTGTTACACACATCTTACCTTACCAATAAGAAAGTACCTTTAGGAGTAGCCACAACTCCTTAGGGCACATTACAGCAGGCAAAGCGCCCATGTTTGGCTTTTAGCAGGTCACCTGGAGAAAAATATAAATGTTCTTCATACTCTGGGCTTCCTGAGCAGTTGATTATCAAGACAGTGTAGCCTTGCCAGTGCTGGCCATCCAACTACCACTTTGCTTATTTTAGCCCTTCCCTTCCTGTTTCTCTCTTGCCGATGCCTAGAGGGGCCTAGGAATAAGAACTAACCCTAGTAGATACTACCCCCCAGGCAACTGACAGCACTGATCTTCCCCACACTAGGCCCAACCCACTCCCTTTGGCCCCACACCCTTTCCGGTAACAATGGCAGCTTAGTCAGAGAACTAAGGTTTGGTAGAGCACCAAGTTTCATTGTTTTCCTCAGTCCAGATTTTGGATGTAAAAGAAGTATAGAGAAGAGAAAGCATAAGATAGTGATTAAATTCTAGAAGCTGGAGTTGCTACTCTATAAAACAGCTAAGATTTAAGTATTTGTTCATCCACCATTTTAGCATTTTGGTGATAAAAAATTTGATGATACAAAAACTCCCCGATTGCCAGGACCCGAGCTGGGGAGCCTGACTAGGGCTTAGAGCTCTTACTCCTGTGGGAGGGCCTCTGCAACTTAACAAATCTTCATCTTGTGGGTCACCCACTTGGGGGGTTTGGGGCCCAATAATATCGTGAGCACTCCCCTCCTACCATCCTGCAGTTGTTCCTTCTTTTATGTTTCCAGCTGCAGAAGATCTTTTTTGCTAGGTTCCAGTCTTTTTTCTATGGCCGTTTAGCATTCAGTTGTGGTTCCGTTGTAGTCGCGAGGAGAGGCAAGCTCATGGTTCTACAACTCCGCCATCTTGACCAGAACTCCCTTGATGATACAAAAGCTCTTACCTGCTATGCATTTCCTTTACATTTATCAACATTTATGTTTCTCCTCCTCTTCAGTAGCATATCATTTCAGATTTGCACCAAATAAGGGCCTAATGAATATTTTCATTGTGATATCTTTAATGAAGAAGCTAAGTGTTGTTTATTATAGTTATTTTCAGGCTAATCAGGGGTCTGCAGTGTTATTAGCCTTCAACATAACCTGGGGGGAGAGAAAGGAAATGATTACTAGTTACCCCTAGCAGGCCTAAGTAACGAAAAGGAAAGAACATGGCAGAAGAAGCTGTGCATTCAAAGTAAACTGTATATTGCATTTTTCTCAGATCCTAGTTAGTGATGAGTTGCTTTATTCCTGGTCCATTCCATACTTCATCTTCATTCCCAGACAGAGTAGTATAGGGGTAAATTTTGATGACAGTTCTGGAAAGCGGATAGAGCTTCCTCAGGAAAATTAGATGTTCCAGAATAAGGAATTTGAACAAGAGAAGGGGGAGATGCTTGGTGGATGGAGAGTAGGAAGCTTTTATTAGTAATGTCAGTTAGTAATGTAGTAATGAGAATCACTAAGACCAGAAGCAGCTTCACTTGACTTTAATTTGCAGAGGGTGGTAAAGGCAGGCACTAAGCCAGCATCACCACGTTGTAAATAATAAATCTTTCTTCTGTGGTGGTGATGTTGTGAAACACACAGGGTAAGTTGCATCAGTATGGTGAAATATCACAAAATGGGCGCGACTGTCTGGAGGAGCATCTGTGTTTGGAAAGGGATCAAGCTACAAATTACAGTCCAAGACACCTTGAATATACGTAACCTGGCATAAACTGAGATACAACACTGGGAACAGATGTCATCAGCCATGGATGACATATATGCTAGGATATTCATAACAAAATACTCATGTAAGGGTATCTGCTGGCACTTCAGCATATAGTATCTTTGTGTTAGAGGAAAATAATAAACTGAAAAGCACACCTCACTTCTGGTATTCAAGAGCCTATTTCAGCCGTTTGTGTTGCTTCCTTACACATTGCAGCTGTGTAACCAGTAACTGATCTGTAGGATGCTTTTTGTCATTGTAACAAAGAAATTGGCTGTTAGTTCCTCCTTTCCCTAACAACCTGCCGTACTCCACTTCCCAAATTGTCATGTCTTTTATGTCACCCACCATTCAGGGGAGATGCTATCAGTGAACCAAGATGGCTGCACATAAATGCCTTTGTTTTCCCTCAGCTGGATAAATACCTATTAGATAATTACCTTTGTCTGCAAAACTTAAGCCCTACCAGTTTTCACTAGGTGGGGTAAAATTTAGAACACGAATCCTTCCAAATCCCACCACCATTGATGAATGAAAATTGACAAGATCTGGATTCTTATATGAACTATCTCAACCTTGTTTAAATGAAAAGACACAGATAACTAATGGGAAAATTAAGCAAGGATAGTATAGTTCATTTTCTATAGAAATTGTGATTTTACTTCTTCAGCCACAGTGGAAATAAGCAATATGCTTTGGGAATTCATTCTTGAATAATGATAATAATTGATTTCTCATTGAAGGAAGAAACTGCATCAGATATGGCAGAAGTGAAGCCAATGTTCCGGGAAGTTCTTCCAAAACAAGGTATCTAAGTCACAAATACTTAGATCATAGAATATTTTAGGGACCCAAACATCTATGCTATTAGCTAAACATCTGTAACTATTTTACGTTCTATATGCCGCTACATTTACTGTAGGCTTTTAATATGCTTTTGTCGTGAGTAGATTGCAAAGAAATAATCACTTTTTTCCCAAGTGAAAGGATGTAAAATGAAGGTTTGATTGTTTGTTAAATGTAGAAGTCCTGTTATACTCAAGATTGCAGAATTACATTAAGAAATTTTCAGTGAAAAAGATAAGACCATAATTTACCATAATGTTAATAAATAAGGTCTGAAAGTGGGGGAAAAGAAACCTAAATCAAACATTGTAAGAAAAGCTGAAGGCTTAAGTTAAACTTCCAGTAATTTGAATTCTTTCTGTTGGGTTAATACCATACTTTACAAGTGCTTTTATGTACATTGTATTTCTCCCAAATATTTTTTTTCAAATTAAACATCTGACACAAAAAGTTGTGTATCTCATGGTAGCTTAGCATCTTAGGTTGGAAGTTCAAAATCTGTCTTCCTCATGAACTCCCTAGTATTAAATGTTGCTTATATTTTTTATATTGAATAAATGTTGCAGGGATAACTATGAGAGTAAGAGATTTTCAGTGACAGAGGATTAAGTTTGGACCTTCATCCTAGCTGCCAGTTGAAACCACCAAACAGCTGTGTTATCTCACTCCAATTAATTCTTATTTCTTTTTAAATGTAGGGCAGTTGTCTGTGGAAGATATAACCACAATGGTGCTGTGTAAACCCAAACTTTTACCCTTAAAGTCTCTGACTCTGGAAAAACTGGAGAAAATGCAGCAAGCAGCACAGGATGCAATTCGCCAACAAGAAACGGCAGAAAAGGAACAACAACAAGTAACTCAGTGAATGATAACTTAGGACTTCTGCAGAACACCCTACCATACTATTAACAATAACTAGAAAATAATCTGCATCAGTATGCTGAAAGCAGTATGTGTTAATACAGCAGATAGTATTCATATAAATAATATAAAAATACTCAAGACTAATAAAACTTGTGCTGTGAATTTAAACACTCTGATTTGTATTGGACATAAGCAATTAAAAAATTGATCAAGTCCTACTGTATAGCACAGAGAACTATATTAACTGTATTCAATAGCTTGTAATAACCTATAATGAAAAAGAATACATTTTTAAACGTATAACTGAATCACTATGCTGTACACCAGAAACTAACACGACATTGTAAATCAACTACAGTTTTTTAAAAATAGTCATCCTAATATAAATAAATAAATATTTTTAAAACTGTGAACCCAGATTTTTGGTTTTTTTTTTTTAACCCAAGTTTAGAACTACAAATTATTGTTCACCATTCCTACTATGATCAGTTTTGTAGATAACATTTTACACACGTGACTCAATGTAGTTTTTATAGTCAGAGAATCCTTTATATGTTTATTAAAAACTGATTTTGAAGTTACATCCTAATGTTACATAAAGTGTGTATAGTAGGCTTTTACACTACCTCATTTTTTTTCTTTTCATTTTTCTCTTTTTTAAATTGAAGTATAGTTGATTTATAATGTGGTAGTTTCAGGTGTATAGCAAAGTGATTCAATTATATACATATATATAAATACTCATTTTCAGATTCTTTCTCATTATAGGTTATTACAAGCTATTGAATATAGTTCCCTCTGCTACACAGTAGGTCCTTGTTTCATCTGTTTTATATGTAGTAGTGTGTATCTGTTCATCCCAAACTCCTAATTTATCCCTTTCCCAGTGTTCCCCTTTGGTAACCATAAATTTGTTTTCTATGTCTATGAATCTGTTTCTGTTGTGTAAGTAAGTTCCTTTGTATCACTTTTTTAGATTCCACATATAAGTGATATATGATATTTGTCTTTTCCCTGACTTCACTTAGTGTGATAATTTTTAGGTCCATCCATGTTGCTGCAAATGGCATTATTTCATTGTTTTTCATGGCTGAGTAATAGTCCATTGTGTATATATACACCACAATTTCTTTATCTATTCATCTGTCAATAGACATTTAAGTTGCTTCCATGTCTTGGCTATTGTAAATAGTGCTGCTGTGAACATTGGAGTGCACGTATCTTTTTGAATTAGAGTTTTATCTTTTCTGGATATATACCCAGGAGTGACATTGCTGGATCATCTGGTAAGACTATTTTTAGTTTTTTAAGGAACCTCTATACTGTTTTCCCTAATGGCTGAACCAATTTGCATTCCCTCCAACAGTGTAGGAGGGTTCCCTTTCTTCCACACCCTCTCCAGCATTTATTATTTATAGATTTTTGACAATCGCCATTCTGACCAATATGAGGTAATACTTCATTGTAGTTTTGATTTGCCATTTCCCTTATAATTAGCAATGTTGACTTTCTGTATGTCTTTGGAGAAATGTCTGTTGAGGTCTTCTGCCTATTTTTTGATTGGGTTGTTTGATTTTCTGATACTGAGCTGTATTAGCTGTTTATATTTTGAAAATTAATCCCTAATTAGTTGCATCATTTGGCAGTATTTTCTCCCATTTCACTTTGTTTATGGCTTTCTTTGTCATTCAAAAGCTTTTCACTTTAATTAGGTCCTATTGTTTACTTTTGCTTTTATTTCCTTTATGGTAGGCAATGGATCCCAAAAAATATTGCTGCAATTTATGTCCAAGAGTATTCTGTGTATGTTTTCCTCTAGGAGTTTTATAGTATCCAATCTTACATTTAGGTCTTCAATCCATTTTGCGTTTATTTTTGTATATGGTGTTAGAGAATGTTCTAATTTTGTTCCTTTACATGTAGCTGTCCAGCATCACTGATTGAAAACTGAAACTGAAAACTGAAAAAACTATCTTTTTTCAGTTGTATATTCTTGCATCCTTTGTTATAGATTAATTGGCCATAAATGCATGGGTTTATTTCTGGTCTTTCTATCCTGTTCGATTGATCTGTGTGCCTTTTTGTGCCAGTATGATACAGATTTGATTTTGTAGTTTTGTAGTATAGCCAAAGTCAGGGAGTGTGATTCCTCCCGCTCCATTCTTCTTTCTCAAGACTGTTTTTGCTATTGGGGGCTATTTGCTATTTATGTTTCCATACAAATTTTAACATTTTTTGTTCTAGTTCTGTGGAAAATGCTGTTGGTAATGTGATAGGGGTTGCACTGAATTTGTATATTGCCTTGGGTAGTATCATCATTTTAACAATATCGATAATTCGAATCCAAGAATATGTCATATCTTTCCATCTGTTCATGTCATCTTCAATTTCTTTCATCGGGGTCTTACAGTTTCCAGAATACAGGTTTTTTGCCTCCTTAGGTAGGTTTATTCCTAGGTATTTTATCCTTTTTGATGCATTTGTAAATGGGATTGTTTCCTTAATTTCTCTTTCTGATATTTCATAGTCAATGTACAGAAATGCGACAGATTTATTTATGTTAATTTTGTACACTGCAACTTTACCAGATTCATTGATGAGCTCTAGTAGTTTTCTGGTGTCATCTCTAGGATCTTCTATGTATAGCATCATGTTATCTGCAAACAATGATAGTTTTACTTCTTATTTTCCAGTTTGGATTCCTTTTATTTCTGTTTTGTCTCTGATTGTTGTGGCTAGGACTTGCAAAACTATGTTGAATAAATGTGGTGAGAGTGGGCATCCTTGTCTTGTTCCTAATCTTAGAGGAAATGCTTTCACTTTTTCACCATTGAGTATGATGTTAGCTGTGGGTTTGTTGTATATGGCCTTTGTTATGTTGAGGTATGTTCCCTCTTTTCCCACTTTCTGGAGAGTTTGTATCATAAATGGATGTTGAATTTTATCAAAAGCTTTTTCTGCATCTATTGAGATGATCATATATGGTTTTTATTCTTCTGTTTGTTAATGTGGTGTATCATATTGATTAATTTGCAAATATTGAAAAACCCTTGCACCTTTGGGATAAATCCCACTTGATCATGGTGTGTGATCCTTTTAATGTATTGTTAGATTTGATTTGCTAGTATTTTGTTGAAGATTTAACACGTTTGTGTTCATCAGTGTTACTGGCTTGTAATTTTCTCTTTTTGTGGTATCTTTGTCTGGTTTAGGTAACAGGGTGATAGTGTCCTCATAGAATGAGTTTTGAAGTGTTCCTTCCTCTGCAATTTTTTGGAATCATTTCAGAAGGGTAGGAGTTAACTCTTCTCTAAATGTTTGGTAGAATTCACCTGTGAAGCCTTCTGGTCCTGGACTTTTGTTTATTGAAAATTTTTAAACTACTGATTCAATTTCATTATAGTAATTGGTCTGTTCATATTTTCTATTTCTTCCTGGTCCAGTCTGAGCAAATTGTAAACCATTTCTAAAAAATGGTTCATTTCCTCTAGGTTGTCCTTTTTGTTAGCATATAGTTGCTCATAGTAGCCTTTTATGATCCCTTGTATTCCTGTAGTGTTGGTTATAACTTCTCTTTTTTTGCTTCTGATTTTATTAATTTGGGCCCTCTCCCTTTTTTTCTTGATGAGTCTGAAGGTTTATCAGTGTTGTTTATCTTCTCAAAGAACCAGCTTTTAGTTTCATTGATCCTTTTTCTTTCTCTCTCTAAGTCTCTATATTCTTTATTTCTGCTCTGATATTTATTGTTTCTTTCCTTCTACTAACTTTGGGTTTTGTTTGTTCTTATTTCTCTGGTTTAAGGCTAGGTTGTCCATTTGAGATTTTTCTTGTTTCCTGAGGTAAGCTTGTATCCCTATAAACTTCCCTCTTAAAACTGCTTTTGCTACATCCCGTAGGTTTTGGATCATCATGTTTTCATTTTCATTTGTCTGTAGGTATTTTTTGATTTCTTCTTTGATTTCTTCAGTGATCCATCTATTGTTTAGTAGCATATTGTTTAGCCTCCACATGTTTGCTGTTTTTGCAGGTTTTTTCCTTGTAATTGATTTCTAATCTCATAGTGTTCTGGTCATTAAAGGTGCTTGATGTGATTTGAGTTTTCTTAAATTTAATGAGGCTTGCTTTTGGGCCAGAATATCATCTATTCTGGAGAAAGTTCCATGTGCATTTGAGAAGAATGTGTGTATTCTGCTGCTTTCAGGTAGAATGCTCTATAAATATCAATTAAGTCCATCAGGTCTAATGTGTCATTTGAGACCTGTGTTTCCTTATTGATTTCCTGTCTGGATGATCTGTCCATTGATGTGAGTGGGGTGTTTTGGTCCTCCACTATTATTGTGTTGCTGTCAATTTCCCTTTTTATGTATGTTAACAGTTGCCTTATATATTGAGGTGCTCCTATGTTGGGTGCATATATATTTACAATTGTTACATCTTCTTGGATTGATCCCTTGAGCATTATGTAGTGTCCTTCTTTGTCTCTTGTAACAGTCTTTATTTTAAAGTCTGTTTTGTCTGATGTAAGTATTGCTACTCCAGCTTTCTTTTGGTTTCCATTTGCATGGAACATCTTTTTCCATCCCCTCACCTTCAGCATGTATGTATCTCTAACTCTGAAGTGGGTCTCTTATAGACAGCATGTATACAGGTCTTATTTTTGTATCTATTCAGCCAGTCTGTGTCTTTCGGTTGGAGCATTTAATCCATTGTTTAAAGTAATTATCGGTATATATGTTCTTATTACTATTTTGTTAATTGTTTTGGATTTTTTTTTGTAGGTCTTTTTTTCTCTTTGTTCTTGTCTCTTGTGGTTTGGTGACTATAGAACGCTACATTTGGATTCTTTTCTTTTTTGTATGTGTTATCTGTTATAGATTTTTGGTTTGTGGTTACCATGAGGTTTGGGTATAGAAGTCTTTCTATATACATGATTATTTTGTGACTGATCTCTTAATTTCAAATGCATTTTAGAAACCCTGTGTTTGTACCCTTCTCCCCTCACGATTACTGTTTCTAATCTCATATTTTACATCTAATTGTTTTGTGTATCTTTTAACTGCTTCTTGTAAATACGAATGATTTTACTACTTTTGTCTTTCAACTTCTCTATTTGTGTGTGGGTGATTTCCTACCTTTTCTGTATATTTGCCATTCCTGGTAAGCTTTCC